ACTATATTTATAGACACGGCCTAATGGCCTCGATGTGAAAGCTCCTCCGGTCATTGATTCAAGCCCTCAAACTCATCTCTGTGTATCAGAGTTGTATATTTAGAGGTCATGCTCCATACAAAATGGCTTAAATGTAACTCTACACTGTTGCAGATCTATATGCTTCTGCTTCTGTCTCTACACATCTATTCAAATGCTGTAGAACTACTAATAATGGCAAGTTGTAATGTTTGGTTCCTTAGGTTTAATTATGTACAAAACCCCAGAATCCATGTGGTTTCAAGGTTGAACTTCTCTGCCATGGTGCTGAATGCTTATTTTGCTCATTACATATCTTCAAGATATATAGATCCATACATAAAAACTCTGCTTTTTCACTGGATGGGGTTCTTAACAGATGCACTTCTCTCCAGAATATTTTTGGTTGGTCATAGAGAACCTTCAGATGTACAAACAAGTTGATTTATTACAAAAATGCATCCATCTGCAGCCATCAGATTTTGTCTAAAAGACAGATTCCTTAATAGGAATTGTTGATAATTTGCTCAGATATCCTTTGTAGATCACAGAGGACAATTTAAATCACTGCTGTTAGAGGGCCAGTAGGAACACATTCACGTTGCTTTTTATCTGCGGAGTCTTCAGCACCAGCCAGATAAAGTCCGTCCAAAAGATGCCAGCCTTTTAATTTGGAATGCAACCAGAATCACACATCTGATCTCGAGCCAGCAGGAATCTGCTCGGAGGTCTGTCCTGATGCCCTGCTATGTGGAGCGCACGGCCGTGTGCATTCAAATGATCAGCCATCAAGACAGCTACACAGCCTCGGGGGAGTGATGTGATGTATCGATAGTGAAAACCCTAATAGCAGTTAACATTATGCACACATTATTAATTTTCCTATCGTGTTTTTAATATACTTACTATACAACAGAATGTATACACTTGTTAAATGGCGAGGTGAATGTAAATGGATGTAAATGAGAGTATTAGTACATATGGGAGGTGGATTTTGGAGCGACTATAACAAAACAGTGTGATGAAGCAGTTCCTATTAGACACGAAAACAGGAAATGACCCGGACTATGCGATTGTGCGTCCATGTCTGGAGGGATGCTTGTGAACTTGTAGATAACAGTGTCTCAGAAATAGATCATTTGTGGAATTCCAATAAATGACTAATTGAATTACTTAATTTCCGAGCAATTCACAGCCTGACTGCAGGCTGTGAGGGAGCTGTCCAGAAGAAGCACTATGCTCCACTACTCACCTTGCTCAGGAATTAATTACATGGCCCGCCACAGGAAATTATTAGCTTGGTCCATAGTCAGGCGTGAGTTTTTTTTTTTTTTTTTGCTAACTGGGCTGGTCTTTGTCCTTGTATGATCCCATCCACAAAACACTTAACTCACTGACTGACTGTTATTTTTATACTTTGATTGAGCGCGCTAACAGTTTTTGATTGATGCAGACGTATATTGTATCGTTTTCTATCTTTACACCACTGTAGACGCTTTCTTTGTTTGCAGTCCGGCACAGAAATCCATGTGACTATTCACACGATGGATCAAAGCCTCCCAACAGCAGTCAAACACGTCTTGCTTCGTTTATTGTGATGTTGCAGGGCTCAATAAGGCGCTTCAAATAGCGTGTACAGCTGAGGATAGACAGTTGCCTGCTTCACTCAGGGATTAATATCATCTCCTTCTACACCTGATTAGATAAAGGCAACAAGCACAAGGCGTTGTCTTTGGGCTTTGCTTACAAATTTCCAAACTAGAAAATCTTAGCAGCTGTTGTAAAATCACTGGCAATTTTCTTCTACGCTATTTCATCATCCATCCTCTTGTCTATGACACCCAGGTTTAATAGTTTGTAACAAGGGCTCGGGAGTTTTTGCAGCGATGAGTCACATCATAATCTCCACACAGTTCCCTGATTCGTTCTGGCACATTTTTGTTGGGCTCAATCGATTTTCAGTGGCTTTCCTCTAGACTTAAATCTCGTACTTAATTGAGCACACTAATTGTAGTCTTTATAGACTTTGCAAGACTGGGACTGACACTGCAACACTTTGAGCTATACGCGGTGAAATATTTTACAGCTCCTTGAAACGCGCATCAGGAGTTTCCTTTTTTTTTTTTCCTGGGAGAAATCCTGAGGTGCACAGAAGTGATGGGTTTTATGCATATGAAAGCGTCAACAAAAGCTTGTTTGGAAGCAGCAGAAAATAGAATGGAAAAGACTACAATCTACAATGATTGTGGTCGCTGAATAACTTTATTTTTATATGTGTAAAAAGTTTAAAGTGTTCATCATAATGAAGACAGGAACTTTACACATTACTGCTTAATTGAGTAACACTATGTTATGCCTTAAGTTAAACTATTATTGTTTTTTTTGATCAGACAGTCTGCTTTGTAAAACAGACCGTTCCTCTTACTGACCTAATTACGTTCAGACTTAAGCAGTCTATTAATTAGGTCGTGTAATTACTCGAGTTGAAAGACACATTTGAAAGAGAGATTTATTGTGCATATGTTTTTCAATCAGTCTAAGAACCCTCCTATGAATTCTTAAGCTGATAATACTGACGGAGCACTGCACTGTTAAAAAGCTTTTTATACAGAGACATCACTTTGTGTGTGTGTGTTTTTTTTGTTTTAAACCTCCAGCTGTTTCTTCATTCGAATAGAAAAAACAAGCAGAGCGTTACAGGGAGGCTCTGGCAGAAAAAAGAACTGTTGAACAGGGACAGTGAGAACAGCGAGGGAGCACGCTAAGATGGTGACACACTTTAAGCGCTGAAGATTTTCCTTCCATGTACACTTTCATGCTGAGTGTTAGTAGATTATGCATTGTTGGCCATGGTGACAAATGCACACTATAGTTCCATTAAGGCAGAAACAAAAACACAGTGGAGAAAAGAAGGAGCCCTGAAACTGTTTTTGGAGGGTTTTTTTTGTCAACAGGGGTTATGGCACTCTAACAAGATAACACTTCTTTGTGGATGACTCGCCTGCTCTCATCATCTCGCTGTATTTCATCAATTGCCGACAGCAGACTTTAACTGTTTTCTTTGGGATTTTTGTTCTGTGAATCAGATTTACGGTCCTGCTGGAATGCTGACTTTCCAGGAAAGCGTACATCCTTGATGAGGCTTATCTAAACACAGTGGCAGCAGCCATCTTTCCCAGTGACAGCAGCAAAGAACCTCATACACACTGTGACAGAAAAAATATGGATTTACAAGCTTTAAGCTGGAGATATATTTCTCTTGGCAGCACGTACATGAATGTGCACAGATGCTGTCTAGATACGTTCATGTTTGTAGTTCTTTTATGCCTGTACACAGAAGTGGCTTGTGCTATATGGAGGCAGTAGAGGGATGGAAAACAAACAGAAATGTACAAAGTCAGTGATGCAGGAACACAGGAGTGAATGTAACAGCCAAAACTACAGCAGAATGATCACCAACAAGGTGTACAGCAGTTCAGTACTGCTGAAGCCAAAATGTGCTGTGAATCTGTAAATTTCAGGTTGAAGTGGATTTATTGTCAAAAAATGATTTGTTTTGTACAAATAAAACATTTTGACTCTAATGTCAACCTGATACCTACTTCTCCTACACTACTGGTTAGCTGCTTAGGTTAAGTTGAGACATGGTGTTAATGGTGGGCTAGGATGTAAAAGACAATGTTGACCACTACCTTATCATATCAAGTCAAAAAACTTTAAACACAGATACGCTACCAAGAAAAGTAGGAGCGTCCATGGCACAGTTCTTTGTGTAAAAAAACAAAAACAAAAACTGAAGCAAACAATTAGAAAGTGACATCAGATCACTTGAAGGACCTACATCGCGGGTGTATAATTATTCTGTTATTCCCCTTTATACATCCATGATCTACATGCTTCATACATACAAGAAGTAACCAAATACAGTTGAATACAGTTTAAAAAAGGCTGAGATACAGACCAGGTGCCCGGTATAATGAAACAATTATTTCACTGTATTTGATAAAACTTTCATGGATTTATGTACTAGGTAGCCGTATTGTATTTAACAAAGTAAAGAAACAAAGAAGAAATTAAGAAACTGAAATCAATTGGCAAACAATCCACCGCATCTGTAAAACAAACTTGAATGAATCTCCATTTATCGACGTATACGGTAAGACAGTAGGCAGGTGGGCATAGGTATTTGTTGAGGAGAAATGTAGTTTTCCGTGCTGTGTTAGAAGATCGATTGCAGCAGTACTAAGCCAAAACACATGCTCAAACTCTGAAAGATAAAAACCGAGATGTCTTTGGGCACCTCGGCTCCTGTGTGGCCCATGGCTGCCCATAACACCCTTATCTGCATAGATCAGCAAAGATGTTTACGTGCATCTCAGCAGAGTTCCAGCTTTAATGGTTCGTGGTATTGCTGGGAAAAAAGAAGTTATTATTGGACTGTATTAGCAGTTAAAATGCCAGAATGGTTAGCAATATTTTTTCAGTGCAAAAATATATTGATATATTTACCTTGGAAGCAGATTTAGAGGGTGTCTGTGTGAACCCGTACATCCTGTAATAATAATGCTTGTGAATGCCTCAGTCCTGTTAACATATTTTCACATTCAGAGTATTGATCTAACAGTTCTTACTTTAGGGCATTCCATACAGCGGCTGTGAGTTATGGTGTTTTGCTTTAAGCCTTTTTTTTTCTCATGTACAGGCCCTGGTAGGAGGCCAGGAGCCCTCGGAGACTCCACACTGCAAAATAATCTTATATTTTTTCTAGCTCAGTGAGTCAAGAGCACTCTGGCTGGATGCCCCCAAAAATGAAGGAAAAGCCCTCAGATACCTATCATCCACTCCATTTCATCCCTTCGACTTTGTTTGTTGCACATGCTGAACCACAGCGGCAGAGTCACCTAATCAAGCCGTGGAAATGAATGTGCAATTTGAATAACATTATGACAAATAGCTCACCTGCATTTCTGTTCGTGTTTCAGACGGGAAGGTGGAAGTGACAAAGGAGAGCCTGAAGCTGTGCACCATGGGCCCAGGGAAGGTGTTTGGAGAGCTGGCTATTCTCTACAACTGCACCAGGACCGCCACTGTCAAGAGTGAGTCTCCGCAGACGCCAGAAAAAAACAATCCAAAGTGCTCACACGAGTCTGTTGCTCAATGTCCACATGTTTCCCAGGTGACAGATAATGCCTCCTGTTCACACACCCACACACTCAGACACACGGCCGCTCGAATCTGTTGCTTCGGTGCGGAGGATTAGGGGTCTTTCTGCTTTTAAGTTATCAGCCCTGTGTCGGCAGAGCGAGCGGGTATCACAGTATCGTTGTGTGTGCGGGCATCGCAGCCGTGAGATTGTTCCGCATTCATGGCGAAACACTACCCATCACCAGACTGTATTTTCACAACACTCCAGTTAAGTGTCTTGCGAGACCCCCAGTGAGCTGAATGTCAAGGTTTACTGACTCTGATCTTTCATGTGTCAAAGCTGCGGCTATGAAGGATGCACAGGGGGGTGAATGGGTAGTCCGTCAGACTGACAATTTGAATAGTCAGTCTGATGGAGTAAGGAGGAGGACGCTCAGAAAAGCACAGGGCTGGTAGTGGACTGCGCACATTTGAGTAATAATGTGTTATAGGATAGCGTGTCAAGATGAAAAATGTGCGTTAAGGTGAGGCGAGAAATGGGAAATTGCTTGAAATGTGTGCTTGGTTAGGATGATAAATAGACAAAAAGGTGAAATGAGATGATGTGCGAAAGTGTTTATGTGCACATAAATGCAGCAGAAATTGAAACAAATCAAAGTAGGTCAGTGTCTGAGTGAGCACTCCACTTGGCACTAGAGAACACACTCATAATAATTCTGTATTTACGGCTGACCTCGTAAAATAATTCCATACATTCTGAGCTGGTTGATGTTTGCTCGCTTGGGATGTAAATCGATGTTTGACCCGGGTATGAATGAATACGTGAAGAGCAGTGCATCCCTCGGGCTCGTGTGTGAGGGCGAAGTTGAAGTGTGGAAGGAAGCGGGGTTGACGATGGAGGCAACGAGGTTGGGTGCCCTGCTCCGACCCCTTTCATGTCCCATGAACCCCTCTCCCTCCAACCAGCCAACCTGTCGGAACTCCCAGCTCCTGTTGCTATAGCAACAACTGCCCACAGGGAGATGAGCCAACTCTTGTGGGATAACATATTCCCCTTCCACCGGCGACAGAGTGTCTGTCTTTTCCTTTTGTATATTATTTTGCCTGCCGCCAGCCCAGCGGCCCGGACTTGCCACCATCTTCAGACGTGTGCGTCAGCGCTGCTTAATAAAAGCTCATCCATGGAACAAGTGATGCAATTGTCTACATGGGAAGGAGTGTGTTTACAGCCTAACAGCCTAACAGGGTCACTGGCACTGTCTCTTAGGATGGTTGTCTTTGGTTTAATGTATGTCGCTACCCATGAATGTGCCGAGGAATTCAGCTGCTACGTTGGCCGATTAGAAGTGACGCTTTCTAAAGGAAAACACGCAACAGTGAGTGTGCATGGCGGTTCGGCTTCCAATCAACCAATTTAATTTGATCTGTGCGTGGAACCCTGTAGGAGGATATCTCCTCAGAGTAATTTCGATTTACATTGCATGGTCTCCTAAGTCATATGCATAAGTAATTACACCCAGGCAGAATTTAAATGATGAACCTTTTAATGTGGACTCAGGGGAGCTCATCCGTAAACTGTGAACAGACCTCCATTCTTTGACGGCAAAGGTAACTCACAACATAATCACATTATTGCCAACTGTGATAATGAGGAGATTACAGAGTCTGTCACTTATTTATAAGGGGGGGAAAAAAACTCCCAGAAACAATCTGGAGCCAATATGTGCAGTGACGTATTTGCAGAAAACATGTCCAGCTACGACAGTGCTTTTAACACAGTCGGCCTCGTCAGGAACAACCTGAGGCTCTTCTGCCATGGAAAGCCGATATAAATATGAAATTTCCAGTGTTTCTTCCTCGTGGTGCAGTGTGCAGTGTTTTGTTACTTTGCACAGAAACTAGCATGAATATTTAAAATTTTACTTGAATTCCAAGCAAGTCAGCGTAAAACCAAAATACTTTTAGGCTATTCCGTTCCAGTACGTGTAAAATTAGGTCGAAATGTTGCAGTCTAACGCTTTCTAGCCTTACTTACTGATTCTAAAGCTACATTATTCACTTGATAGTGCAATGTTTTAGGCCATTTTTCTTTGAATTGCATTTGCATACTGCAGAGTCGTCGAGTTTTCATTTTGCCTTTGTGATATTTCAGGCATCATTTGGTGTCTATTCATTCCAAAACATTCTGAGAATCACAGATTTGAAACTGGCGTGATTTTGGCAATTCATCACAGTGAGCATTATGCCTGCGAGCTTTCCAAATCAATCTGCGCTTATTACTGTCTTACAACAAAGGAATAATACGACTGTGGCAACAATGAAACATACATAATGTTCGCTGTGATCTATCACACACCGATTTTCAAATCTTTGCAGGCTGTTTGTCAGGCAACACCAGTATTCATCGAATCATTAGCCGTCTGGAAAATGGGGGAAAACACAATTTGGAAAATAATTGGCAGTATAGCGGATTGAGCCGCGTCTGTGATTTATTGTGAAATGTCGAAAATATGCGAAATCACCGCTATATTCATATTAATACGCCAACAGAAGGCTCAGTAAAACAAATACATAATGCACTCAATCAGAAATACATGTTTCATTCCTGAACTGATATGAAAAGTCAACTAGTGTGTTTATTGGCAAAAGTGTGCAACTATTTGTGCAATAACACACAATTATGTGGATGTGTTGCAGGGATTACACAAAATTGCAAGCTTTCCCAAATAATACAAGGATTGGTGGGATTTGTGTTAATTCTTGGTTTGCATGATTACAAATTCCTGGAGGGGCTCATGAGGATATTTCCATCAATCCCCTTTTCATCCTGTAGGTGATTTTATGAGTGAGCACTTGCTTGCAGTCTCCCAAAAGAAATGGATCCTCTAAAGTAAGTTACATAAGCATTTTTAGTAGCACTTACTCCCAGGTTGTGTAGTTCCTTCAACAAGCTCCGCCAGTCAATATGTTGTGTTTAGTCTCAGGATGCAGGCACTTAAGTGTGGAGCTATAGCTACATTTGGGGTTTGGCTCTGCCAGTCTTGAGAAATGAGGTGGGATTTTACATGCAGCCCGGGAGGAAAAATGTTGCCAGAGACTTTACCTTACAAAAAAAAAAAAAATCCCCTCAACCATCAAATCCATATCACATCATTTTCACATGACAACAATCGGGACGATGCTAGCCGAAGATGAGAGGAGAAGAAAAGGGTGAGAGTGAGAGAAGAAATAGCGAGGTGGTAAATACAGGACAGCAGTGACAGCAAAATGAGGAATCCACCTCAAGGGAAGCAAGGCAAAATTGGTATCTTTTTGTCTGCAGACAAGAGAGGGACAATAGCTATGTGCTAAAAAAAAGAAAAAAAAAATCATAGCATCAAAATGTCAGTGGTTCTTGAAGACTTGGACAGAATAACAGGACAAAATTAAGCGTTATAAAGCTGGGCGGCAATTGACATTTGTACATTTCATTGCACGGCACGACAATGAGAGGAAAAATTGATTTTGAAACGATATTGTTGCTGTGACTGTCTATTTACTGAAAATGCCAGGTTGATCTATGAAATACAAGCGTACAGTTGCAAGTTCTTTTGAAAGGTTAATATGATAATAGCACTGCAACTAACAATTATGGTTAAGATTGATTAATGCCGAAGTTGTTTTCTCACCTAATCAATTCACAGCTCAAGGGAACATTTTCAGATTTCTTGCTGTTTATGACCAACAGTTCAAAACTCAAAGGTGTTTAGTTTACAGTAATATAAAATGGAAAAGAGCAGCAAATCCTCATGCTGGAAAGGATGTAGCTAGATACTGTGCATTTTTGCCAGCATGTTTTTTTCAATCATTCCCAATGATGAGCGTGTATTGAGACCTTTTGCTGCTTAGACCAAAACCTTCAACCAGCGTCTTCGTTCTAATTTTTCATTGTCTGCACCCGCTTCTAGTTGATAATTAGAACTTTTCAGAAAGACGTTGCTGTCATCCCTGATGCTCCCTTTCAGGTAACCAATCACATGGGTGGGACTTTCCATCCTGGCAGCTAAGAACATGGAGGAGAATCTTGTTCTGGCCTTGTTTTTTTTTTTTTTATCCCAAGCAAAAGGATGTCAGGCAGAATATTCACAAGAGGTAACAGCCAATAGAGTAGTAATATTTTGTTGAAATGTCATAGAAACCAAATCCACGAACAGCGTGGGAGCAATTTTTGATGAAGCTCTGGGATGAAGCATTCCCCAGCACTCTGCCAGAAAAACTTTTTGGGATGCATGTCCTTATTTAGATAAAGAACCCATATAATGCTTCTTGGGTTTTCCCTTCCCTATAGTGTGTCACATAGCTTGTAAAAGATCTAGTTTAAAGTGCAGGCTTTTCTTCTGTTACTTATCGACGTCACCATGTAACGCATTTGATTAAAATTGGCTAGCAGCTATTTTTGCACACCCTCAAACAACCAATAAAGAACCTTCTTCCGGTCCACGATTGTTTCCTGGTAATAGAGCCACTTCTGTTAGGGCTTTGTTTGTCAGCCTCATAGATCTAGAGTTATGGTATGTAGCCAACATTAGGCTGGTTCAAGGTGAACTGTGACAGTCGACGGTTAAGACGGCCAGTTTCCAGCAGACTTCAGAAACTGTACTGGCACTCACAGGAACAAAACACAGTTTTAAAATGTTCTTCAACGCACAGAGTTTGTACACAGTTTCTAAAAGTTTTATTTATGACGAGGCAAATGCTCTGCAGACATTCTGTAATCTCCATTTTACATAAATTTTCATGTAAATCAATCTGGCACTGTATATATCAGGTAACCAAACATGTCCCTCTGAAACGACATAATTAAATTAAAACCTCTAACTAACCCTGAAGGACTTAATCAGCCCAGTGGTAATATGCTAGAACAGGTCTCGGCAACCTTAAACACTCAAAGAGCCATTTGGACCTGTTTCCC